ACTAAAGCTTAGCCCAAGACTGATATCATACTCAATCTAAACTAAGTCCAATAGGAAATAAAAACAAAACTACATACTAGCCCAAAATTAAACCCGTGTTAGGTTAAGGAATATATATATATATATCGATGATAAATTGACAACTTTACAGCATAAGGGCTTGATCGTGACAATGCTTGTTGAACGTTCGATGACAACTTACTCCTACCAGTACTTATTCAGGGGGAATGAAACATAAATAAAAGAATCAAGGGCTTTACGATCGAAGCAAGGAAGGGCATGGTTTGTGGGTCATTGGCTCAATGGAGGAACCCGTAGTAAGGGGGTACGTCCCGCTGATTTCATATCAGATATCGTTGATATGAACACAAAAGAAATCTTGAATTATTTATAGAAAGGAAGTGAAACACTTCTCTTCCTGTAATTGATTTTGAGCTATACGATAACGACACATCCCTTGATCTCTTTGCGAATGTGCTTGACAAATCTAAATTGAATTCTCGAGTCAAAGGAAGAAATTTCAACAAGAGTAATCGTTTAAATTAAGTCACAAACATCTTGTTTAATGATGCGTTACATCATATATTATATTATCGAACGTTATTAACACTAAGTATACATAATTAAACTCTAATCCACTATCGTGACATCCTAATCAAATGAGGTCCAAAGACATCAATTAATCAAGTATTTAAACATGACGTACTAATCAAATGTGCTGATAAAAAATTTATTTTTATTTTTGCTTTTACTTTTATATTAATGATTGTTCAAACTAAGAAGTACAAATTTTAGAAATTATAGATTTATTTGATTTTGTTAGAAAAGAAATTAGGCTTCGGGGGTTAGGAAATTCGGACAATTAGCTCGTAAGTAAATAAAATTTTGTACAGCCGACCCGAAAAGATTTAGTCCCTATGTGATTTAGCGAAAAAAAAAAAAAGCTCATAAAATTTTAAGTGAAAAATAACAATTTTTATCATTTTTTAAATCATATATTTCATAAATTTAATCAAATCTCATAAAAAAAATTAATTTTTTGCTAAACCAAACGAGGGCTTAGTTGTGAAATAATAATTAAATGACGGAGAAGTCCTAATTTGTGTGTTTCAAATAGGTGGAGCTAAATTTGGCAATTTTCTGGTCAAGTTGGCATAAACCTCGCTATGACTTTTCAACTCTTTGTTTTTGTGGCCCACTTTATTTTTTTGATCCAGCCCACGATGGCTAAAATAACAAAAGGCTGTGGGCGTTTGGTGAGGTCAAAAGATAGAAAAAGAGAAAGAGTCTGTTTGATTCTCATTATTGTAGAATGAGAATGAAAAATATAGTTGTTATTGGACTCCACACAAGAGATAGAAATTCAAAATTGATGGCTTCATGTGATGGATAACGGTCATATTTTTCATTTTTCTGGATGAAAAATGAGAAACAAACGGGCTCTAAAAATGAATAATATACTGCAACCTTGTAATTTTATTACTGTAAATTATTCCATACAACATACGAGATAAAATGGGAATATGATTAATCCAGCCTCGAAAGACCATCGAGGCGAGTTTGTTCTTGTATCATGTGGGAATCTAAAGAGTTAATTGTTTTTTCTTTCTACGTAAATATTGAGAGAATATTGTAATCTACATTTCTAGTGATAACATAGCAACCGAATTTGTATATCTTCGTTCACTATGTTGAACGTTTTCTTCACTTGAATTCACTTATTTTGCATATAAATCATCTCTATATTGATATAAATCCACGTGTTAGTTAAGGTTCTATCATCCCACATTAATTTTTTTTTTTGTTTTCCATCGTTTGAGCTCTTGTGAGTGCTTTAGTGCATGTTTGTCAAAGCTTATTCTTATAAGCAGTGGTGTAGAGGTGTCAAGACGGACGGGCCGACCATGACCCGTAAAAATCGGCCCGGGATAATCGGGACCGAGGGCCGACCCGTGACCCGTCCGGGCGGTACACGGGCCAAGGAGGTGTAACCCGCGGGCTTCGCGGGTTGCACCCCNTACGGGTCAAAATCGGAACGAACCACGACCCGCGCGACCCGTGACCCGCATGGGCTCGACCCGGATGGGTCAGCGGGCGGGCCTGGGTTGTAGTCCAAAATTGTGGGTCGACCCGTAACCGGCCCGGAACCCGCAGCGGGCGGGCTTTTTTTCACGCGGGCCGTTACCGGGCTCACATGTTGGCGGGCCGACCCGGCCCGGACCACCCGGATTGACACCTCTACAGTGGTGGTTCAAAATAATTTATTGTTAAAAATCAGGTAAAGATTTTAAAAATGTATGAATAAAAATAGAATTGACCAATTTATAAATAATTATAAACATTGACAAACATTTACTCAATTCATTATTCATGATGAATTAATAGTAGTTTTTTGGCTATTTATTTATGGTTCTAAGACCAGTAGTTCTAGCAGTCGACTTGATTCTTTCAAATTGTTTCTCATTATTGAGAAAAGGTAAAAAAACTTAAAGCGTGGTTAGACGTGAAAGTCAAATTTCAAGCTTTACAAGCTTAGACGAGACCTAGTAGTGAAAACGCGTTAATTCTTTTTATTATTACTTTAAATACTTAATCATTTTAAAAATCATTTAATAATTAAAATAAGACATACCAAAAATCTAAAATTATAAAATACTATATCTATTTAATAATTCTTACAATTAATCAATTATAAAATTTTCAAGTTTTCGAAATATAAAAGCTAGACTATTTTTTATAGTTTCAACTTTCAATTAGACAAGTTATGCTTAACAGATTTATATGAACTTTATAAATAATTTCGAAATTTTGAACAATATAATAAGTCTCAAAATCGTAATTACATAATATAATCATAACGTAACTTAAATCTTATCTAAATCTTTATCGAATAAAGTCGTTTTGACTTTTGTATAGATAATGTCATTTAAAAACTTGAAACTAGAGTAAAATAGAAGCCTTTTTAAAAAAAACAAAAAAGTCAATAAGTTAAAGTCAAATAGAAGGTTCTTTTAAAAGGGAAAACATAAAAAAAAATTAAAAAATTAATAGAGCGCGCCTGGGCATAATCAACTTAGCAATTGGTTGTTTAATTCACGCTTAATATTAAGACAAAGCATTTTATCCTCATCTCGTGCCTTGACACGTTTAGGTGATGGTTAGACGCATTGTTTAGAACACTGATTATTGATAACTAATCAAGCTACAAAAGATTAATGGTTTACCATTTTTAAACCACTTCACTATGTTGTAAATTAATCGATAGATCAATACAAGCATGAGTCTAAAGTTTGCAATTATTTTGTCTTTAATTACTAATCATGGTTTATATGTATTATTTTTTGACAAATTTTATCGCATGTCAATAAAATTCACCGATAATTTATATTTTTCATAACATCTTGTGTTCTTAGTTAAAATAACCCGTGAATATCCATTTTAACATCTTAATCTAACAAATTAAGAATAGATATATAGTCTACGGGCTTCAATTTCGTCCCACATTATATATATTTTAACCATCAAACACAGCTAGAGAAAGAATCTTTACCGGACAAAAGTAAATTAAGCTGAATTTTTAATGCGTATAGGTTGATAATATATGCTTAGACGCAAGATTATAACTTATTTTTCTTGCTTAATAATATTTACTATTGTAAATAACACCATACCTAACCAACCACTAATGTCTTATTGATGATATAAGCACAATCTTGTCAGTTTATTGCAGAATTTAATTAGATTCACCTTTCCCACAAGTTGCCTTCAGAAGTGCAAATTGTTGTGGCACATTCTTGTTTCTCCATGAAATCCCTATACCAAAACATCCTTAATTGCACCTTATGGCTACCTGAAATGCCATATGAACAAATCCAAATGAATCTTCTACTCAATATATTTTGATATATTTTCGTCAAACTCCTACTTCTTAATCTTTTTTAAATTCATCTGCATTGTTTTACGCATTCAAGAATCCCCTCGCTTCTTTCACAAACTATCCTCTTTTTTCGTTACTGACTGATCATTAGATTTATTCCCTCTTATTTGATTAACTAATGTTATTCTTAGATCTTCACCCATATGTAGCCAAGGGTACCCCAGAATTTACCAAATTTGGACAAGAAAACATGACTTGTAATACTGCAAACCATTCCTTGAAAATTTAATGAAGTTAATTGCACTGTAAAACCTTAGTAAAACTACCCTTTCCCAGAATTCGATGACTATTCATAGACTCTGTGTGGGTTCGTATATTGGACCTCGTGCTTTTTATTCATTACATTACCGGGAAAAAAAAAGGGTTATTGAAAAAATTTTCAAGAACCATTAGATCATGAAATTCACTCAAGAAAAGCCAAAATTTTTACTGGTAACAAGGAGCACAATAAGTATATCCTCCTGATCAAACAGATGAACCATTCTTCATCGAATTAGCAAAATAAATAGATGATCTAGCAATGATGTGATTTCTAATAAAAACATAGGATTTGACAATAATGTTCTCAATAAAAATAATAGTACAAACAAACCCACATTATATCAGATTCAACCTGCGCATTCAGGCAGATAAATCTATAGTTCGATCTTCCTGTGACCCAAGCAACTAGCTCGGTATTTAAAATTGGTGCCCTAAATATTCTGCTCTTAACTTGAACAATTAAACATTGATGATTTCACAGAAGTGCAAGAAATAGAACAAGTAAATCCAAAATAATAAAGGGTTTTATACACGAAAATTGAAAGGAAAAGTTAAGAACAAATAAAAATCTAAACCTTATCATGTTCCTCTCTGAGTCTCTTCACTTGTGCCTCTCAAGAAGATCCTCCAACAGCTTATTATCCAAACACTCCAACTCGATTACCTGTTCGTCCTGCCCTTTATCCCTAGCAGGAACTGACGAAGACGAAGACGAAGACGAAGATGAATAACTAATAGATGGAGGCTGGCCTGCATTTCTATATAGTCCGTCATTTGGAAAGTTAAGAATTGCTTGATGACCCCTCAAAGCATATGCAGCTCTATCATATGCCCTTGCAGCCTCTTCCGCTGTCTCGAACGTACCTAACCACAAACGTGCGCCATTTCTGTTCGGATCGCGTATTTCAGCTGCATATTTTCCCCATGGCCTCCTTCGAATGCCTCGATATTTTACTTCTTTCCTCTCTCCTTCAGTTCCTTCCATATTTTTAGTCTCAATATCCTATTGTGGGTTCAAATTTGGTGATTAAGATAGTGTACTAATGAATCATTTTATATATACTAGAGGTCAAAAAATTTATAAGGTCATACTTGACGGTTGGAATTTTTCAAGAATGACAGTCCAAGAAAAGAATCTTGTGTAAAGGCAAAGTAAAATTATAAATTTTGCATGTTTTGAACCCTAGAAGTGGCAATTCAGTGTACATAACCTAGTTTTTCAAGCTTTTAGAATTGATTGGTGAATCCAGCATCATTAGATTTTGGTGCAAAATTGGTTTTCAAATGTTGTGTTTTGAATACTTTTTGTCTGTCATTTTTATAACCTAAAGAATGTTGAAAAATGGCTAGACTTACCAACTAAAGGTTGTCGTATTTTGGTTAAGAAATGACTGCTGGAGTTGAAAACTTGAAGTCCTCTTCAACATCAACAGGCCGCCGTAGGAGGTTCCTTTATGCAAAGGGTACCTACCTAATTAAGAGCCTTTTTTGGGTCCATCCAATTGTCTGACAAGTTATATTAAGATGAAATCAATTTTTATTTTTTTTTTATAAAATCACTTTTTGTTGTACTCATTTTCAATCATACACCGTCTCTAAAAAAATAATCATTTTGACATTTTTTCAGAACTTTTTCTTACTTCAAATAGTTTACAGTCCACAATCACTTATTAAAAAATCAACTTCATGCAAGCTAAACTTATGAATGAGAAATGAATTACACATTATACCCAGTATCGTGAACAAATAACTATTTTGTAAAAGTAATTGAAATTATCGAGTTGTTAATATTATAGCTTGATTAGTAAGAATTAGAGGGGCATATGGTCTTCTTTTATTTTTCAATGTACATATTTGGGAAGTTTATTTTGCATTTCAGGTTTGATTTAGTCCAAATTACAGGGAAACTCTATAAAAAAATTATTGAATTCATTATAATTGAAAGCACGTCAAAGTTAGCCTTGTTGATTTCTATCAATGTTGCAAGTCACCTTATGGGCCATTTTTTTCCTACGAAACTCAGTTCACCCAATTCTAAGAATAAAATTTACGGGAAAACTAAGTGCATGTTCTCTTTAACGTTTGCAAACCGTTTTCTATTTTCGATTTTTCAAAACAGTGAAAACGCGTTCTTTTTCCTATTTTCAAAAACGCGATTTTGAAAACAATTTAAAAATTTACAAAGAAAACTCAAAATGACAATTTGTAGTTTTTAGTGTTTTTAATTATAATCAAGCCAAAATTTTCAAAACGCGTTTTGAGTGTTTTCAGTTTAACGTCACCCCAACTACCACCACTGCCAACTACACCACACCACCGTAACCACCACCATCGTCTCCTGCACCACACCACCACAAAAACAACCGCCGCCGCCACAACATCACCCCAACCACCACCGTTGCTGCTTGCACCACACCACCACCACACAACCGTCAATCCGTTACCACAACCACCGCCACACCACACACACCACCGCCACAGCCACGCACCAAACACCATTGCCACACCACAACACCCAACCATCGCCACAGCCACGCACTCAAACACCACCGCCACAACCACAACCAACCATCGCCACAGTAAAAAAAAGAGAGACAAAATCGCCAACAATAGCAGCCACAACCATCCATCGTCGTACACCACGCACCGATTGCAGCCACCGTCACTGCTCGTCTACAAAGAGGAGTGGAAGAAGAGAGAGACGACGTGAGAAGGGAAGAAAGAGAACCGATTTTCCAATTTTTGATTTTTGAAAACAATTTTTCAAAATACCAAAAAGAATATATTTTCAACAATTTCAAAATGGATACTCAAAACACAAAACTCAAAATGAATTCAAAACTCAAACACAAAATTGAAATACAAAGAGAACAACTCCTAAGCTTCTACCATGCAAACACGATTTTTCGTAATAAAGTAATGGACCCATTGATGAGGATGATGACGATATGGTCATTGGATCCAAGCCTTTTTGTTCTGAACAAAAAGTCCATTTTTTTAGGTTTTGTCCTTTAAGCTAATGAGTCGAACTAGCCGATCCTCGTCTCACTCTTTTTTTTTTTCATTTGTGGGTAAAAGAGAGGAAAGTATCTAATCTCGTTACTCACGAGTTATTGAAGTACAAGATCTAGTTATGCATCTTTCCTCTCTGCTTGGCATAAGGATTTTAATTCGCGCTCACTTAGAGCATATGGATATTCTCAGACATGGAATCCCACTAGTTTAGAACTGTTGGTTCTAGTTTTTCCTTAGGCTTCGACTAAGCCAAGAAAAACCTAGACTTTGGTTCCTCCTCCTCTAAACATGAACAAGATCAGTTATCGAGAAGAGTTGGATGCTACCCAAGAAAGAAGAAGATTTTCTCTTGTGAAGCAATAGGTGATGGCCATCTCAAGGCACATCACGAAAGAAGATTGTGTCAAAATACACTTTTGTTCGCAATAGAGAGGGTAAAATAACTCATCTAATGTCACTAAAATCCATTTATCGCCATCCAATTAATAACCACAACTTGGGACATCCATAAATGTTGGACCACGAGCAACGTTAACTCAATTAAGTTGCTTCTACTGGCCTCAAGTTATTTTCAGGTCGAGCCATAACTAAGGTGTCTATATAAATTATTCAACATCGGTTTAACATCATCGCTCGGAATTTATTGGGTATCAAAACCCAACAAATCTCCACCATGATACACAATCCATCTGCAAGCAATCAAAAACACAAAGTTAATGCTTGCATAATCAAGGCTACCAATAAAATTAGAATCAGAGACCTTACCTTGTGTTTCAAACTTGAAACACATACCATACCTGCTTCATGTACTTAACAGTGCTAAGATCACAAACAAATACCCAAGTAGAGGCAGAAAACCACAGTAATCAATCAAGAACAAATAAACATGTCATAGAAATGTCATATAGGACAACACAATTTTTTTTTTTTTTTTTGAAAATGACACATTCACACAGAACAACAGATTAACACCAGTTAATCAAGCACACGGTCAACACATATGCAACAAATGCAAAAATGACCATACTTATCATATCACATTATGTGTTGCTTACACTTCGAGAACACAAATCTCACATCATCGTCCACCATACTTACTAAACTAATCACTCAACCCATGTCTAACTGGTATACCTCTATAGATCCTAAGTCCTTGGGGTAATCCTCTATCACCATATTACTTCTCTCAACCTAAGTAGATAATGGGTCTCCACTTAACAGAAGTGATAGAAGTGTCTCTCTCACACTCCACCTGATCAGGATTTCTTCAAAGATAAAGGATTCCAACATTTAATCACCTCTCCACTCGTGATCCAAATGCTACACTCTACATTCCTAGTACAAACCACCAATATACCCCTAGGCATACATACTATAACTCACCAATAGACATACAATAGACTGCTAATGCATCTTAACCCACTATGCGTGCAAATAATTACACAAAGTAATCAGATTGCTCTCAAAATTCACGTAAATGCACATATCAAACACATTTAAATGCACATATAATCATACAACATAATTAAGCAATCACATACATGCAGAAATGATTACAAATAGATGCACATGCATTAACTATGTTTTCTTTCAATAAATCACATTATGGTCATCACTCAACCCTATAGCCACATTCGTCTCGTCTCTTTTCTCATCCGACGACCACAAGCAAAGTACATATACAATTCACACAGAATAATTATACTACACAATAGTCTTATATGCAATAAGAAAAGGAAAAGAGCACGATACCGAGCGAACACGTTTGAAGATCCGTAACTATCGAGATATGTGAATTCACCGTTTTAGGGCTATCACTATTCGTCCCAAAGCTTCTAGCAACCGCAGTAACATCAAACGACACTCGACACCCGAACGTCGGAGGGCAAAATAGTTCAATTTTCATCGTATCACCCGAAACTGAAAACGGACGCCACCTTAGGGTTTGCCACGCAAGAACAGTGAAAATAGAGTATGAAAATAATGTAGTATTTGAGTGCAAAAGCTAAGAATTTAACCTTTTGGATTTAAGTTGAGATGACCTACCTCTATTTATAGTAGTGGTGGTGTATGTCACACATTCCTCGTGTCGTAGGGGTGAGGATTCTAGCTCATTCCTCTAAAAAAATTTGTGTAATCGTCTCAATCGTGAATAATAACCTTTTCTTAATTAGAGGCCTTTTCCACTAAGGCTATTCTACAAGGGACGAATGACTGCTACTCAATGAAATATGTAGCTATTATTTAATTCTTGAAAGGAAAATTCTACTTGTACATCAATTTTTGCACATAAGAGGTTACACCTCACTCACATGAGGATGGGACCCACTGCATAAAATATTTTTTTATTTAAGCGGGTCCCACCCCCATGTGAGGGGGGTGTACACCTCGATATACATTGTGATGTATAAGTAGCGAAGCCCTTTTGAAAATAGGTCTTCTCTTCATTCTCTAGTCTCCATAGCCTCATATCATGCCATTGCAACTCAAAAAATGTACTAGAAATTTTCATAAATCGTAAGTATACAATATTAAATTAAACCGTACAATACAAAAGACAAATTTTAGCTTTTTTTTTAATCACTGATTATACTTTATGAAATAATCGATATTGATTCAGATTGACTCACGGAAACACACCGATAATCCCTCGTAATTCATGTTGAATCTAATTTATATTTTTTACGAAATAAATATTAGGGTGTGTTTGATAATACCCATTTTCCATAACACCCATTTTCCATGGAAAATTGAATTTCTTTTCCTTTTCCTTGCAAATTGTGTGTTTGATGTGTAAAGTTTTGATGGCAATTGGTTTTCTTGAAAATCTCTCACGCGCCTTGTTTTCCTTGAATTTGGGGAAAATCAATTCCCACCTATTTGGTGGGAATTGCATTTCCCAGTTGACGACACTTTTTTTTTTTTTTTTT